TTGATTATACTTCTATTGATCACATATCATATCTACAATAATAAAAGTGTAATATGCTAATTAGATCAGACGTCCTTCTGGACGTCCTTCCTTCCAGACCAAGCCACACTGGGCGGGGGGCGGGGCCAAGGCCCTTGCATGAATTTTGTGCGTGGGGCCTCTAGTACATACATAAAATGAAATTAGTCACTGAATTTAAATGCTAAGAATGAAAACCTGCCCTAGAACAGCTGAGGGGTGGCAGTTACCCCCTGAGCACTGGACCTCACCCCCTTTGCCTGTTCAGTATTGTCCCCTGTGTCCCATACTGGTCTCTCCAGTCTTCTAGATCATTCCCTAGAGGTGAAACCTGCTGTGACCTCTGGTCTCTAAAACAGTACCAGCCCGGCCGGCGTGGCTCAGTGGTTGAGCACCAACCTATGAACCGGGAGGCCCCAGGGTGATTCCCGGTCAGGGCACATGCCCGGGTTGCAGGCTTTATCCCCAGTGTGGGGCGTACAGGAGGCAGCCGATCAGTGATTCTCTCTCATCACTGATGTTTCTCTCTCTCCCTCTCCTTTCCTCTCTGAGATCGATAAAAATATTTGTTTTAAACAGAGAGAAGGGGGTCCTGAGACCTGAGACGTGGCTGCTGAGGCGTGAAGTGCGGGACCCAGAAACGCTGCCAGCAGCCGGCAGATGGTGGGCCCCAAAGAGCTCACGCCTTGACCCCCAGAGCCTGGGAGTAGCAGGGGTCACATGCAGGTTGCACATGGAGCCAAGGCCACCAGGCGGCTGCCTTGTGAGATGGCCCTGGATTGGCCGGGGGGGGGGGCAGTGTGACCATAGGGGCCTCCGTGGAGGAGGGGCAGCAGTGGAGGGGGGGCCGAAGATGGCCAGAGGGAGCTGGGACTGGACCGACGTGCACCGTTGGGCTTCCAAGAGGAGCGCGGCCTCGAGATGCCGGAAGAGCTGGGGACACAGGTCTCCCTGAGACCCTCCAGAGGGAGCGTTCCTGTGACCCCGGTTTTAGCTGCTGACCCTGTGCTGGGGCTCTGTCCTCAGAGCGCTGCAGTAATGCCTCCTGCTGTTTAACCGCCGAGTTGGGAGTGAACTGTTACAGGGAGCCATGGCCGCCTCCTGGGGACAGTGCCCACAGCCAGGGCATTCACGAATCTGCTCGGCAGCGGGGCTGCGTGCCCGTGGGCTCGCCGAGGGGCGCCGGCTGCAGAAGTCACTCCACGGGCAGCGCACAGGATGTGACAAATCAAAGCCCCGCTCAAAATATCACACACGCGTGACATCCTTTTTATAGCGTTAAAAACAACCCAAAATACATCGAGACTCCGTGTGGCAGCAGCCACGCTGTGCTCAAGGGCCGCGTGAGTCAGGATGCGGGAGCCGGGAGCTGTGGGGAGCAGGAGCGGGCTGGGGTGATGGGCTCCCGGGCTGTGTGATTGGGGGGCCCCAGGGTGGTTCCCCTCGGGGCCTGCAAAGGAGCATGGTGGACTTCGTGGCAATAAGACACCTGTGGTGGCGAGAAGGACGGAGCCGAGGTCCTTCGGGGGGAGCTTGGCAGCTCCGCTTCCTTCCAGGGCAGAGGCAGAGGCCCCTGGTTTTGCCTGGAGCTGCAAACTCCAGGGCCAATGCCACGCCACGAGGCTGGCTGTCTCATTCCAGCGCTGTCATCACCCCCAGAGGAGGCCCCGTACCTGTGCCGCCACCGCCCTCCCCGTCCCCCCCCCCCCCCCCCCCCCCCGAGGAGCAGCTTTTAAGGATTAGATGTGGCTTATGATGACTCATCGCTCTCTGTGTATTTAAGGAGGACGAAGGTCAGCAGGGTGGTGGGGTGCACCGGCCGCCCCTGACCCCACGGCGCCACCCCGTAGCTGTGTGACCTTGGCCGGTGTCTTGGCCTCTCTGTGCCCAGTTTCCTGCCCTCCAGATGAGACGGGCACGGGCATTGCACACAGGGCCGTGGGGAGGAGAGGGGACGGTGCTGCTGGGCAGGCTGGAGCCTGACCCCCCGCAGGTGCTGAGCAGGAGGACTCTGATGGGATGAACCACAGACACGCTGTCCCCATCTGACAGCCTGCAGGGCCAGCTTTTCTCCCCCAGAGAGCCGAGGTCTCCGGTGGGCAGCCTGGCTCCACACGCCTGCCTCCGGCCCCTGAATATGCTGGGTCCGGCCCGACTGCGGGCGGCACTGCACAGCGCACTCGCCTCGAGACAGGTGCCATCGGGGCGGACCTGGCCACACCGCCCTCAGAAGCAGGCGCTTTCTCCCTGACCGGTGTGGCTCAGTGGATGAAGCATCTGCCTGAGGACTGAAGGGTCCCGGGTTTGATTCTGGTCAAGGGCACGTACCTTGGGTGCAGGCTCCATCCTGGACCTGGTCGGGGCCCCTGTGGGGAGTAACCAGGGGATGTGTCTCACATCGATGTGTCTCTCTGTTTCTCACCCTCCCACTCTCTCTAAAAATCAATGGGAAAAAAGGATTAACAAAGAAAGAAACAGGAGTCCTCTGAGACATGTCAGTCTATTAGATGTTTATAAAAATAAAAGAAGCAGGCGCTTTCTGTGCGGCTGCCGCTCCCAGCGGAGGGCCCGGGGCTCGGCATGCGGGTGGCTTGTGGCGTGAGGCCCGCAGGTCCCCGCGTGTCTGAGTGCACCACTCACGGCCTGGTGTCCAGCCCTGCCTGCGGGGTCAGGAGGGGAGGCCTGCCTGGCGAGACGTGGCTGGAGCGTGCCCGGCAGCAGCTGTCCAGCACGGGGAGCCTCCACGGTGGTCTCTGCCGTCCACTCTTCCCGGGCCCAGGCGGTCGGAGCCCCCGGCGGGGGCAGCTGGGGTGTCCCAGCCCCTCCTCCTGGTCAGCGCCTGCCCTGGGCAGACCTCCCCTGGTGCTGGCGGGCCCCCCAGCTGGAGAGGCGGCCTCTGACCACCTGGTCCAGAGGGAAGGGTGCGGGCGGACAGCTGGGGACCACGCTTTCGTGGCCCCATCTGAAGGTGGTTCCTCACGGCTGCCTGGAATGAGGGGGTGGCCAGGCCCTGTTTTCCTGCAACAAATAAAACAACAAAAATGAGTGTTTTTCTGGCTGTACTGGTCATTCCTCAGAAAGTCATACCTACTCCTCGCAGAGTAAGCTCAGACTTCAGGCTGCCGGGAAGGCCTCGCCCGCCCTGGAGAGCTGTCTGGACTTTGGTGAATCTCAGAGGAGGACTCTGGCCTGGTCTGCAGTGTCTCTTAGGGACGGAACCTTCTAGATCTGCAGGGGCCTGCTGAGCTTCCCTCAGGAACGCCAGGAGGTCGCTGAGTGTCGATGTGGGCACGTGTCGCACCAGACGATGCATTCAAGGCATTTTGACGAGAGATGGTGCGTGTGACGGTGAGTGCAGCCGTGGTGTTGGGTGCCCCGACCACTTGGGGTGTCAGGACGCCCGCGGTGCCGCTAAGGGAAAGGTGACCGCGGCCGCCGGCCCCTTCCTGGCAGGAGTGACCGACTGGCAGCAGATTCTTCTTCCAACTGGGTCTTTGGTTTCAGTAAAACGGACGGAGGCCTGAGCCGCACGGCCCAGCCTCAGAGCTGGTTCTGATCCTGTGGTTTCTCGCTGTGATCTGGGTCCAGAGCGGGCCCCCGGCGCCGCCCCTCCCGCCAATCCGTGTTCTGTGATGGGCACCGGGCACGGCCAGTGCTGCTAAGCGTTCTTTGATTCTTGATAAACTGGGCGATAGCCACAGTGGAGGAGGGCGGGCGAGGGCGCCAGCTGTGGTCCCGCCTCTGTCCCACCCTGGGCAGCCCGGAGGCCGGAGGGGTCCTTCAGTCCCGGGCGCTGTGGCTCCCTTGGGGCCCCTCCAGGTGTCCACAGGCCCCACCGCATCCCCGGCCGACCTGGAAGTTCAAGAGTGAACCCTGGGTGGGGGGTCAGAGGGCGAGTTTCTGTTCCTCGGTTCAGGCTGACGACTCCCTGCCCCCCAGATGCTGCCCTAAAACCAAGAGGAGGTGCCAGGATGGGAAAAGGGCCGTAATGCAGGACGGGGGAGGGGCTGGCCTCTGGGGGGCGGGGCGGGGAGCCAGGGCTAAGGGCACCATTCGGAGCTGCAGCCAGCGCCTCTCCTCCCAGCCCCCACCCAGACTACACACGCGTGCGCTCACATTCTTTCACACACACGCAGGGGCACTCACATGTGCACACACAAATGCAACACACTCGTGTACACACCCGCATGCACTCACACGCATGAACCCACATGTGTGCACACACATTCACACAAACACTCATGCACATGTGCGTGTACGTGTGCACATACAGGCACACCCACATGCATAGCCACACGTGCACGCATGTGATGACACGGTGCTCCCCTGCAGTCCCACCTGCACACGTGCTAGTGTCAGCTGTGTGAGCTGAGGGGCTGAGCGCTCAGCCCGCTGAGGCCAGCACTGCCGGGGGTCCGCTGGGTGCGCGTGATGGGCAGCGGGCACCCACCCCTCCAGCCTCCCTGGCCCGCATGCCACTGCCTCCCAGGCTGCGGTTTGCACAGCAGGTGCCGTCACCGGGGGGCGGGGGGTGTTTGGGTGCGAGGTCTGGGTGTGTGCTGAGGGTGGGGGCTGAGTGCGTCTCCGTCAGGTGTGGGCGTGGCCACACCAGCTCAGAGCCACGGCCTCCTGGGGGCATCACCCCCGGTGCCCTCGGTGAGGGAGCTGGTGGTGTGGCCTGGGTGACTGGGGTCCACTCCTAAGCTGGGTGTCAGGACACCATTGGCCAGGAGAACCCTGACCCCACGCTCCCCAGGCCCTTGTGTGGGGCATCCCTCCCTAGGGAAGGAGGGACCTGCCGTTTAGTTGCCTGCGGAGACGCTGCTCTCGGCCTCTAGGAAGCAGCCGGCCCCGTCGTCCTAAAGCCTGGAGACGCTTGTGCAGGAGCCGGCGGGGAGCACACTGCTCGTCGCCTGGGAACAGGCCGCCCCAGGTGCCCACACAGCTCGGTCTGGCTCACGCCTGGGTGCCTGTCTCCCCAGAGGTCGGACCCGCAGCTGCTGGCCCAGTTCTACTATGCGGATGAGGAGCTGAACCAGGTGGCGGCCGAGCTGGACAGCCTGGATGGGCGGAAGGACCCCCAGCGGTGCACCCTGCTCGTCAGCCAGTTCCGCTCCTGCCAGGTGAGTGCAGGCCTGTCCCGGGCGTGGGCCTGTCCCGGGTGTGGCCTGTCCCGGGTGGGGCCTGTCCCGGGTGTGGGCCTGTCCCGGGTGTGGGTCTGTCCCGGGTGTGGGGTCTGTCCCGGGTGTGGGGCCTGTCCCGGGTGTGGGCCTGTCCCGGGTGTGGGCCTGTCCCGGGTGTGGGTCTGTCCCGGGTGTGGGGTCTGTCCCGGGTGTGGGCCTGTCCCGGGTGTGGGGTCTGTCCCGGGTGTGGGGTCTGTCCCGGGTGTGGGCCTGTCCCGGGTGTGGGTCTGTCCCGGGTGTGGCCTGTCCCGGGTGTGGCCTGTCCCGGGTGTGGGCCTGTCCCGGGTGTGGGTCTGTCCCGGGTGTGGGGTCTGTCCCGGGTGTGGGGCCTGTCCCGGGTGGGGCCTGTCCCGGGTGTGGGGCCTGTCCCGGGTGTGGGCCTGTCCCGGGTGTGGGGTCTGTCCCGGGTGTGGGCCTGTCCTGGGTGGGGTCTGTCCCGGGTGTGGGGTCTGTCCCGGGTGTGGGCCTGTCCCGGGTGTGGGTCTGTCCCGGGTGTGGGCCTGTCCCGGGTGTGGCCTGTCCCGGGTGGGGCCTGTCCCGGGTGTGGGCCTGTCCCGGGTGTGGGTCTGTCCCGGGTGTGGGGTCTGTCCCGGGTGTGGGGCCTGTCCCGGGTGTGGCCTGTCCCGGGTGTGGGGCCTGTCCCGGGTGTGGGTCTGTCCCGGGTGTGGGGTCTGTCCCGGGTGTGGGCCTGTCCTGGGTGGGGTCTGTCCCGGGTGTGGGGTCTGTCCCGGGTGTGGGGTCTGTCCCGGGTGTGGGCCTGTCCCGGGTGTGGGTCTGTCCCGGGTGTGGGCCTGTCCCGGGTGGGGCCTGTCCCGGGTGGGGCCTGTCCCGGGTGTGAGCCTGTCCCGGGTGTGGCCTGTCCCGGGTGTGAGCCTGTCCCGGGTGTGGCCTGTCCCGGGTGTGAGCCTGTCCCGGGTGTGGCCTGTCCCGGGTGTGAGCCTGTCCCGGGTGGGGCCTGTCCCGGGTGGGGCCTGTCCCGGGTGGGGCCTGTCCCGGGTGTGGGCCTGTCCCGGGCACTAAGGCCTGTCCCTGTTTCAGGACAACGTGTTAAACATCATTGACCAGATCATGGACGCCTGCATCCCCCAGGACCGCGCCCCCCGGGACTTCTGCGTCAAGTTCCCCGAGGAGATCCGGCACGACAGCCTGGCGGGCCAGCTGTGGTTCGGCGCCGAGGTAGTGGCCCCGCCGGTCCCGGCACGGCCTTGGCGCGTCCAGCCGTTTCTCCGCGAGCCCTGGTCAGCCCCGGGGCATGGCCCCAACTGGCGCCGGTGCTCCCGTGCGCTGGGGGAGGGGACAGGTGACCCCCGCCTGGGCCCCGTTGGCCCTCCCCTCCGCCTGCCTCGGGGTGAGTCCCAGTGAGAGTGTCTGTGGTTTCTGCCGTGACTGCTCTGGACCAGGCGGACCCCGGGGAGCGGGCGCCCACATCCTGTAACGCCGGCCCCGGAGCGAGCAGCGGGGACCATGCGGCAGGAGCTCCCGGGGGTTTCCAGGAGAGAGGACTTGGGGAGGAAGGCCATGCCCCGGCCTAGCCACAGCCCCCTGCAGCCTCCGTGTTCCCTGCGTGCCCAGCGTTGGGGCCACTGCCCTCTCACGGGGCCGGGCTTTGCTCGGTGTGGGGGGACCAGGTCGGAGCTCCGCTCCGTGCAGAGCGGGAGCCAGGGTGGGGGCCAGGGCTGGTGGGGCCTCAGGTCGGGCTCCTCGGGGACTGGGCGTAGGCGGTGACCCCTCCCTCCGCCCGCAGTGCCTGGCCGCCGGCTCCATCATCATGAACCGGGAGCTGGAGAGCATGGCCATGCGCCCGCTGGCCAAGGAGCTGACCCGCAGCCTGGAGGACGTGCGGGGCGCCCTCCGCGACCAGGCGCTGCGGGACCTCAACACCTACACGGAGAAGATGCGGGAGGCGCTGAGGCACTTCGACGTCCTGTTTGCGGAGTTCGAGCTGAGGTGACCTTGCGGGCCACGCGTGTGCTGTAGGCGTGAGGCCACGGCCTCGGCTCTGTCGGGGGGGGGGGGGGTGTGCCTGCTCTGCGGGCTTTTCCGATATTTCCAACTGGAAAACTGCAGCAGGAGGAGCTGCGGCTGGTCAGGGTCAGGGCTGTCTGCAGGGTGGTGACCCCTGGGACTTGGTGTGGGCTGTGGGGGGAGGGAGATGCAGGGGCCACCCCACCCCACCCCACATGCTCAGGGGCTGGCCCCACCACCCAGCTCTGAGCATTCCCCCGCCCTATGCTCCCTCCTTCATGATGCCTGCCCCCCCACCCCCCCTCACCCAGAGAGCTGCCCCCCAGCCCGCCCACAGGCCTCTGTGGGGAAGGGCTCCGACGGCCTGGAGGGAGCACGCTGCGGGCGCCCGCACACAGACCCCGGGCTGGGCCAGGGAGAGCAGCCCTGGGCGCTCACACCACGGTGGTCCTGGCCAACAAAAACGGCATCGTTGCTAGTAGCTGTCCATCTCGAAGGACACCCGCCGGACGCTAAAGGCCTCCTCTCCAGGACGAGGGAGAGATTTGTTCCCTTCCTCCCTGCATTTCCCAAACAAGCTTCATAACCACCGACAGTGAGAGGCAGCCACTCAGGGAGGAAGAATGGTCTCGTCCAGGTAGTGGGTGGAGGGCCATCACCTTTTCCTACCTTCTCAGCCCGTCCCACCTGCCGTGGCTCCCCTGGCGCCTAGATAGCCGGTGCTTAGGGCCTGGGGCGTTCGCCTGCCTGTGTCCTCCTCCCTCCCTCCCTGCCCTTGCTCACTGGTCAGGGCTGGCCAGGCAGCGATGCTGGAGGTGAGCAGGTGGGCAGTGACAGCTCAGCAGCTCAGGACGGGCAGGGCCGAGGAGGCACTGGAAGGGGCCTGACCCAGAGCAGCTCTGTCCTGACGGGGGTCACGCTGGCGGCTGTGCGTTTACGCGGCACAGACGTGGGTGGCGGTGGGATTCAGCCCTCGCTCACTCTCCCTGTGGTGCAGCTACGTCTCGGCCGTGGTGCCCGTGAAGTCGCCCCGGGAGTACTACGTGCAGCAGGAGGTCATCGTGCTGTTCTGCGAGACCGTGGAACGGTGAGCCACCCGTTGCCCAGGGCCCGGCCACAGCCTGGGGCAGGGGCAGCCGTGGGGGGCACCCACCTTGTCACCGGGGTCCCCAGCAGGGCCAGGCCGGCCCCTCCCCTCCCTTGTCCTCGTGCCCGGGGGTGGGCAGTCCCGAGAGGCCCCTCCTCAGGGCTGCAGCCTCTTCCTCAGCGCTCCCCCCTCGCTCCCCCATCTTTCCTCTGGGCCCAGAGGCAGACCCTGCAGCTGAAGTTCATGTGACAGAAAATTCACCCACAGGACAAGCTGCACAGGCTCAGCCTCCAGGAGCTGACCTCCTCCTCCTCCAGCTCCTCCCCTCCCCCTTCCACCTGTTCATCTGCACACCCCCATGCCCCCACCCATCTCCTCCCCCTCCTCCTCTCCCTCCTCCCCCTCCCTCCTCCTCACCCCCCCCTCCCAGTCAGGGTGGGGCCCTGGCTGGGTGTCAGGTCCCAAATGGGTTTGGGGGCAGCTCTCCAGTCAGCTCGCGCCTGGGGATGTGAAGTCAGACTCCGAGTGGACTGGGGACTGATGGAGCCCGGAGTGGTCTCTGTATGTGACTAGGGCCCTGCTGCTGGGCTCGTTGTGAAATCGCCTGCTGTGGCCTCCTAAGCCGTGGCTGTTTTAAGATGGAGTATTCGGTGTTGACCTGTCGAGGCATTTCACTCACCCGCGGGAGAGAGGCTCTGACTGCGTCGCTGGGATCAGCAGGGGGAGGGGGGTCAGCGCAGGCCGCCCTGCCCACACCTGCGAGGGCTCAGGGCGCATGCGTCACCTTCCGACTGTCCGCCCGGCATGGGCGCGGGTCTGACCCAGGCCCTGCCCTCCTCACTGTGCCCCCCGGCCAGGGCCCTGGACTGCGGGTACCTGACCCAGGACATGATTGACGACTACGAGCCCGCCCTCATGTTCACCATCCCCAGGCTGGCCATCGTGTGGTGAGTGTCCCTCCCCCGGACTGTCCTTCGGCAGGAACCGGGCAGGGCCGTCCAGTCCGGCGGCTCCGCCTGTTGCTGATAAATGGTGCTCACACCCCCGAAGGTGGCTGCTCCCACTTCTGCTTGGCTCTGGGGGTAGATGGCTTTGGGTCTCGTTGTCAGAAACTCTAGGGGTGTCCGTTGCCCAGGTGTGGGGCTCAGGGACAGTCTTGTGCTGAAGGATGTGGTTGCCGAGGCGACAGGCCGCCCAGGTGGTGGTTATCTGATGGTCCCTCGAGTGACCATTGTCAGAACAGGACACAGTTTGAGTGACAGTTCTCATTGCTTTCCTCTGAACATATTTAAGATTTGGTCTCACCTGGCTGGCGTGGCTCAGTGGTAGAGTATTGACCTATGAACCAGGAGGTCATGGTTCGATTCCGGTCAAGGGCACAGGCCCGAGTGGCAGGCTCAATCCCCAGTGGGGAGGCGTCCAGGAGGCAGCCAATCAATGATTCTCTCTCATCGTTGGTGTTTCTCTGTCTCTCTCCCTCTCCCTTCCTTTCTGATATCAATAAAAATATCCTATATAATAAAAGGCTAATATGCAAATTGTCCCCTAGGAAGTTTGACCAGGTGTTTGATAGCTCGCTATGATGTGCGCTGACCACCAGGGGGCAGCGTGGACTATGGCGGGTGACCAGCTGCGGTGGCGGGGTGCTGAGGGAGCGAGGGAAGGAGGAGTCAGGGAACCTGATTGGCCCTGATCACAGGCCAGGCCTAGGGACCCTACCTGTGCACAAATTTTGTGCACCAGACCTCTAGTATTTAGAAAAAAAAAAAAAAGGATTGGGTCTTGAGGCGAAGCATGTGCCGCGCTGGGTGTGGGGTGGCCTGGAGGCCCCAGTGCGTCTGGGCGCACCCAGCAGCCACGGGGCCTGAAGCCAGCTGGCTTTTGTGTCTTGAATGCAGCGGCCTTGTGGTCTACGCGGACGGACCCCTAAACTTGGACCGCAAGGCGGAAGACATGTCCGAGCTGTTCCGGCCCTTCCACACGTTGCTGCGGAAAATAAGGTGTGGAGGGCAGGAGGATGGGGCGGGGGGTGCTGGCGTCGGCAGCCCCCCAGCCTTCCGCTCTGCAGGACTGGGGGGCAGTTACCGGCCCTCTCCTGCTCCCGCGCGGGCGCTGGGGCCTTGGCCGTGGTCTCCGCTGCTGGTTTATGGCGCCGAGGGCCCTGTGTAGCTCTGTGCCCGTCCTTCCCACGGGACCACATTCTCTGTTGTGGCCTTTGTGCCTGGAGACCGGCAGCGTCACTGCCCTGCGGGGTCCCGCCCGCCCGTTGTGCCGTTTCAGGGCCCTGTCGGGGCCTGGCTCGCAGGACAGGCTGTGAAACGGGTTCTGAGCACAAGATGTGCGGTTCTGAGAGGCACTCTTTTTTAAAAAAATATATGTTTTTATTGATTTTAGAGAGAGAGGAAGAGAGAGGGAGAGAGAGAAACGCCAATGATGAGCCCTGGCCGGTTTGGCTCAGTGCATAGAGCGTCAACCTGCGGACCGAAGGGTCCCGGGTTCGATTCCGGAATTACAGTGAAGGGCATGAACCTCAGTTGCAGGCATCTCCCCAGCCTGGGCCCTGGCCAGCGCACGTGCAGGAGGCAACCAATCGAGTGTTTCTCTCACATCGATGCTTCTCTCTGTCGTTCCCTCTCTCTAAAAATCAGTGGAGAAATATCCTCGGGTGCGGATTAAAAAAAAGAAGAAGAAAGAAAAACATCAATGATGAGAGAGATCGGCTCATCGGCTGCCTCCCGCACCCCCCACTGGGATCGAGCCCACAACCAGGCACGTGCTCTGACTGGGAGTTGAACTGGTTACCACTTGGCTCCGGGTTCGACGCTAGCTGCTCAGCAGCGCTGGCCGACTGGCGGCCTCTTTTCCGTGTGCCCCTCCGTGATGGCCCCGGAGCGTTCAGTGTGGGACTCGGACCCCAGGCTGGCCCGCGCTTCTCCCTGACAGAGCCACTGCTCACCCCATGAAAGTCACTCCGCCTCCTGGTCTCTGGCTCAATGCCCCTTCCTCCAGGAAGTCTCCCCAGACTCGGCCAGGTGCCCTCCGTTTTCCTTTATTGCAGTTGTCACTATTGTAGTTCAGTAATCACTCATATAAATACTTATTTTCTGCGTCTTCCAACACAGCCCCCCAGGGCAGGGACCATGCCTGTCTTGCTGCGCGTGCCCCGTGCCCAGCACACACGGCTCAGACACGGCTGTGGAGCAGGAGGAGGAAGGCTGTATGGGAGCCAGCACATGGCTCTTCACTCCCAGATGTTTTCATTGCTGTGATTACCACATCCCCGAGGCCCAGGCTCTCTTGTTTCCGCCACAGGTTCCAGAACCTGGCTGTTAAGAAGGAAACTGCCCGGCCAGCGTGGCTCAGGGGTTGAGCTCTGACCTAGGAACCAGGAGGTCACAGTTCGATTCCCAGTCAGGGCACATGCCCGTTGCGAGCTGGACCCCCAGCGTGGGGGCCTGCAGGAGGCAGCCGATCAGTGATTCTCTCTCATCACTGATGTTTCTCTCTCCCTCTCCCTTCCTCTCTGAGATCAATAAAAATATGTTTAAAAAGTAGATATATATTTAAAAAAGAAAAGAAGGAACCCCCTCCCCCACCCCCCCGCGGGAGCCGGTGCCTCACTTTATCGTGGAGGAAGTGTGTGCGTGTGAACTGAATGGCGAGCGATTATGCCCGTTGCTTCCCTGCGGGCGCCGGAAGGCAGCACCACCTGCTCCTGGCAGAGGCGGAGGCCGGGTGGCGTTGGGGCCCTCACCCCGAGGTCTGGTCCCTCTGGGGCCCTCACCCCGGGGTCTGGTCCCGTAGGGATTTGCTGCAGACGCTGACGGAGGACGAGCTGCACACGCTGGAACGGAACCTCTGCATTTCCCACGACGTGGAGTTCCCCCTCCGCACAGACGTGCCCGTGCCCCCGGCCCTGGTGCCCGCCTTCCCGGCGCCCCTCCCACCTGAGGAGCTGCTCCCCGCCAAGGCCAAGGACCTGGAGGCCGAGCTGGCCTGCTCCATGCAGTACGACGACCAGGAGCTGGAGCAGCTGAGCCGCATGGTGCACCGGGCCGGGGACGCCATGTCCTCCCTGCTGTCCCCCCCCAGCGCCTGCCAGTCCCCCGCACGCAGGCCGGGAAGCGAGGACAGCCCCCGGGTGGAGGCCTCCCCGGGCCGCAGGCTGCGGCCCTCGGGCAGCGACGAGGAGGAGGGCAGGGTGTTCTTCATGGACGATGTGGAGGGGGCAGCCGAGGCCCCGGGCAGCCCCTCCGTGTGGCCGGGTGGCCCCCACGCTGACTCCCAGGAGAGAGAGCAGGGCAGGGAGGCAGGGGGCAGCGTGCCCGCCACCTCGAAGGACGAGGACGACTTGAGCAACAACAACAACGTCCCAGACCAGGACAAGGCCTGGGCGTCGGGCCCCAACTCCTGCAGCTGCCTGGACGCCCAGCCGCACCTGGACGGCTGGGAGGTGACGGCGGACGACGCGGAGACCGCGGAGATGATCGCCCACCGGACGGGGGGCATGAAGCTCTCGGCCACGGTCATCTTCAACCCCAAATCGCCTGCCCTCGTGGACGGCGCCGTCTCTGCCCTGGAAGCGCCCGGAACCGGTGCCTCCCCGTCGGAGACCGTGGCCGAGGGGACGGAGGGCCCCCACAAACTCGGTGCCGCAGCCACCAGCTGCCTCCTGAACTCCTGCGTGTGCTGCGGGGGCTGCCGGGGCGGCAGGGAGGAGGCGGCCGAGAGCCTGCTGGACAAGTGCAGCCCGGGCATCATCGGCACCTCCTATGTCGGCTCCGGCTTGGCCAAGGGCGGGGCCAAGAGGCCGGAGGAGGCCCAGCCCGCCCTGGAGGCACTGCCCGTGGGGTCCCCGGCCCCCCTGCCCCCAGAAGACACCCCCAACCAGGAGCCCAGAGCCCCTGCTCCCAGCAAGTGCCTGGCACTCACCTCAGGGCCCGCGGTGGACGCAGCAGACAGGCTGCCGGGCGGTCACGATGGCGGTCAGCAGGAGGAGCCCGAGGCCAGACAGCCGGGCGGTGGACAGCCCTCCGGGGCCGGGGAGGGGAGCCGCAGCCTGTCGGGCCCCAGGTAAGAGCTCTGGCCCCTAGGCTCACCCTCTGACTGCACTGGGGGCGTGTTGTGTGGGCTGATTCTCTGTCGAGGTGCTCCCACGGGCCCTCGGGGGTGGGGTGTCGGGGGGAGGGGTGGCAGGGCCTCCTGGGCACGGTGGCAACATCCCGCCCAGAAATGTCCCCATTGGCCCCTGAGGACACAGGTGCCTTTCACGTGGTGGCAGTGCTAAGCCCATGGCTCGCCCCCCTGTCCGCATGTGGCCCATCCTGGCCCTGGTGTGACCAGCGTGTGGGTGGGCTGGACAGTGGTGATGGGCGTGGCTTTGTCTTTGCTGCCCCGAGGGTGCCCACCTGACCACTCGGCCACTCGGCCCCCGTGGGCTGCACTCACCCTCAGTGAGGTGTGGGCCCTGGGCCGCCGGGGTGCTGGGACCACCCGAGATCCTCAGGGGGTGCTCTGGGCGCTGCCCTCCCTCCAGGTGCTCCTCTCCCCCGAGGCCCTGACCTATGGGCCCCCGCGCCTGGGCACCTCTGCGGACTCCAGGCGTCTTGGGTCCCTGGCTCCCCTCTCCCGACTTATCCAGACAAAGCAGATCAGCCAGCCGTGCCCCCTCCTCCCTTGACATCGGCAGAGGAGGGGCAGGGTTCGCCTCGGTGGTTCCCACGGGGCCGGTGTGTTGTCACCACAGGCAGGTCTCTCACCAGGACCCTGCATGCAGGGCACCCTCCTGGCCTCGGCCGTGACCACCAGTGGGTGCTCAGCCTGGAGGCTGGATGAGGCCCTCTGTCAGGAGCCGTGGGAGATGGGTACAGAGGTGGTCAGCAGGGTGGACTGGGGAGGGGTCTTCACATCAGGGGGAGGGATCATCACTGGGGGGGGTGGGTCTCCACACCAGGGGGAGGGGTCTCCACACCAGGGGGAGGGGTCTCCACACCAGGGGGTGGGGTCTCCACACCAGGGGGCGGGGTCTCCACACCAGGGGAGGGGTCTGTGGGTACAGGGCCCTGTGCTCTGCCTCCTCCTCTCTGGCCTCGTCCTCCAGCACAGGTATGAGGAGCTGGCTGGGACCCTGTGGTGGTGGGGCCGCTGCTGCTCTCTCCTCCGTGCCGAGTCCCCACGTTTGTGGCCGGACCATAGCCCGTGTGCCCACAGCTGCCTTTCCTGGGTGGGGCCTCAGCCACTCCCCACCCCTCCCCCAGGCCTGGGTATTCCTTGGCTCCATAGATTGGCCTGTTCCGGACACTTCACATAAACAGAATCACACTATAAGTTACGTTTGGTGTCTGGCTTTTTAAAAAATGCATCTTCATTGTTGAAAGTGTTACAGATATCCCCGCTCCCCCCATCCCCCCACCGGCCCCCGCCCCCGCCCCAGGCCTTCCCTACACTGTTGTCTGTGTCCAGGGGTTATGCACACATACATACAAGTGCTGTGGTTAGTTTCTCCCCATCCGCCCCCTCGCCCCCGCCTACCCTCTGGGACTCAACAGTCTGTCCCACGCCGGTGTCTGGCTTCCTACTGCGCATCAGCCCTTCCCTCCTTTTCATGGCTGCGTACTATTCCGTGTGGGGATGGACGTGTTTTGTTTATCCACCTGTCCAGGCGTGTGTGCATGTGCGTGTGTGTGTATGTGTGTGCTAGTCCCACTTTTTGGCTATTATGAACATCTGTGTACAAGTTTTTTAAAAAAAACTATGTTTTTTTATTGATTTCAGGGAGGAAGGGAGAGGGAGGGAGAGATAGAAACATCAATGAGAAAGAATCATCGATCGGCTGCCTCCTGCACGCCCCACCCTGAGGATCAAGCCCGCAACCCGGGCCTGTGCCCTGACCCGGAATTGAACTGTTTTCTCCTGGCTCATACAGAGGTCGATGTTCAACCACTGAGCCACACTGGCTGGGCTGGGTACAAGTTTTTGTGTGTGTGGTCATGTTTCCATTTCTTTTGCTTTGATATCTGGGAGTGGAATTGCTGGGTCACATGGTTTAGCTTTCTTTGTAAATATTTTTTAATGACTTTAGAGAGAGAGAGAGGAAGGGAGAGGGAGAGAGAGAGAAACATAGATCGGTTGCTTCCCATACACACCCCGACTGGGAATCGAAACCACAACCCGGGCATGTGCCCTGACGGGGAATGGAACTGGCAACTTTTCGGTGCACAGGACAACGCCCAGCCCACTGAGCCACACAGGCCAGGGCCGTGGGTTAGCTTTTTGAGGTGCTATCACCTGTTTGCCACAGTGGCTGCCGTTTGCGTGCCCACCATCCTGTTCAGGGTTCATTTCTCACCTGTGCTGTGAGACTGTTTAAACCGGCGGTTCTCAACCTGTGGGTTGCGACCCCTTTGGCGGTCGAACGACCCTTTCACAGGGGTCGCCTAAGACCATCCTGCATATCAGATATTTATGTTACGATTCATAACAGTAGCAGCATTACAGTTATGAAGAAGCAACAAAAATAATTTTATGGTTGGGTCACAACATGAGGAACTGTATTTAAAGGGCCAGGAGGTTGAGAACCACTGGTTTAAACGTTCTCCTGTCCGCGGGGCACACCCCCTGGGACTCACCTGAAATGGCTGTCTGAGGCCAGGCCCCCAGTTCGCCGCAGCGGGTGCCTTTGTTCCCGTTAGCAGCAGATGGTGGACACTGCGTTTGCACTGGGTTTCATTTGTATTTAATTAGGTGGAATGTTTGCATGATTCCCCGTCAGGTCTACGGAATAAGATATAACCAGAGAATTCAGTCTCTCCCCTCATTCGCCCCCTCTCCTGAAGTAACAGGTTTACATTTTTATAGCTTCTCCTAAAACTTTAAAAATAGAAGCAATGGTGCATGTGAGCCCGCACCGCCCACACACATGCTTCCCCTCCTGTTCTTGGCAAAGGCCTCGTCCTGCACACGCTCCTCTCGCCTGGCGTTCCTGGCCGAGCCTGGAGGCTGCCCGTGGTAGCTTCTAGACGTGCCCCCACTGTCACTTTCGGCCGCCTGGGGCCCGCTGTGTGGCTGGGCCCGCGTCACTCACACCGGCTGCTGGCCTTGGGGTGGCCCCGGACTTGGCTCCCAGGAGCGAGCGGCGCCGCAGGGAGCAGCCTCCTGCGCCGTCCCTCTGTGATGAGGCCACTTGGGAGACGGCGCCCGCTGCCTCAGCCATGGCCAGCGGACGGCTCTTCCTCGGGGCGAGTGGATGGGTAAGTGCATCGCTTTTCTGCCAGGCTGATCGGAAAACATCACGCATTCTCTGACGGGCTCCGTGGGTTTCGGTGACTGACCTGCACCCACTCTTTTGCTGTGTGTTCAGGGGACAGCCAGAGGACCCCTGCGCTGTCTGGAGCCCCCTCCTGCCTTCCTGACGTGTCCTGCGTGGACACGGCTCCTTCATGACACGCCTCAGCCCCCAGGCCTCATCAGCTCAGTGCCCACGCCGAAGCTGGGAAAAGGAAGAGAACCCACGGAGAGCCCCACCCTCCGGGATGTCCATAGGTGCAGGGGTCCGAAGGAGGAAGACTGGGGCGGCCGGCTGACCGGACAGCACAGCGTCTGGGTCAGGACCTTGGACAGCGGCGCCCGGGCCCAGCACTGCGTCGGGGGAGCTGGGAACCGGCCAGCAGGTGGCGCTGTTGCACCCACAGGACCCGGCTGATTCCTGGGCGGCTGAGCGAGGCTGGGGAGACGCACCCAGCGACCAGGCGGGGCGCCGACCTCAGGGCGCCTGATGGAACACGGGGCATTGGGAAGACAAGCATGAGATCAAGCAGCCTGCTGCCCAGCCACAGGCAGGGAGTTCACAACATTCCGACGGCGAGACGCCTGGACCTGGTTGGCATTAGGTGATGGCAGCGGCCCCGGGGCGGTGCAGCTGGTCACCCCGCCTGGCAGACGGAGAGACGGCCCGAGAGGCTGTGCCTGAGCCCAGCCGCCTGCAGCGCGAGCCCGTTCTGCCCCCTGGCGTTGTGTCATGTGCCCTTCGCGGGACCCACGTCGGCCTGATCTGACCCTGAGGCCTGGCTGCCCAGCAGGTGCTCCTGTGGCCCCTGCAGTGTGTGCCTGGGGAGGGAACACGGGCCGCCCTGCACTCAGTCACGGGCTCCTCAGACCCGCGGCCACACCTGGAGACGGAGCCATGAAGGAGACGCCCGGGACGGTCTGCTTGTTCTAAGGGCACCACCGGGAGCGTGTTTGCCCCCGAGCGGAGCCGGGCCCAGGTGGAAGGCCGGCTGTCCGGGTCCTGGAGGAGGGTCCAGCCGGGAGGAGCCCCTCTGCGGCATTTCCCCGGCCCAACCTGCGCCCCGTGCTCCCAGCTGTCCCGGCAGAACCGGAACCGATGTCCTCAGCTCTTCTTGCTGCTTCTTTCTCACCTTTTCAGGGTCACAGATCAGCCTTTTTGGGAAAAGTGGCGTTTTTTAAAACCCTCTTGTCCCTGTGTGGACTCACCTCATTATCCAGAACCTTCCGTACGCAGAGCTGGCTGAGTGAGGCCTTTTTCTAGACCCGGAATTCGGTCTGTCTCGAGTGCATCTGCCTGTCCCTGGACGTCCTGCCACCGTGTGTTCCCAGCCTCCTGCCTCCTTCAAAAATAACGCCGACGCTCTTTTTCTCATTATAACGTGGCCCCGTTCACTGTGGAAACGTAGGGAAACATGAATGAGAACGAAGGAGGGAAATAAAACCACCCCAACCCCGTGGGCAGTTTTATTGTTTTTTCACCGAATATTGTTTTGTGATCGCTCCTCCACAAAGCCGCTTCCTCTGTGGTCAGGACCCAGGCTCATTTGTCCTGTCCTTTTCCGTTCGTAGTTTCCCGCGTCGCATGAGCCGTGTGGTCAGGCGCCCCTCTGGCTCGGCGTCTGGGTTATTTCCGTGGCACCAGCGCTGAGGCAGGACACGCACAGCAACGCCACGGAGTCCGGCCTCGGCCCCTGCTGTCGGGGCCCCCGGGGCCTGACCCGGCTGCGGCTGTTCGCCCCCGGCTCTCCCAGCTCAGGAGCAGAGATGCCTCCTGCGAGGCTGTGGTTTGTGCCCTGACTTGGTGCACTGGGCGCTCCGTCCGCGCGCGCTGCCCGTTCCCCGCGGGGGGCGCTGCTCTCCGCGCCGTCCAGCTGGGGTTCCAGTTTCCTTAGGGACCTGAACAGGCTCCCGTCCACTGGGCGCGTTGCAGGTCGCCGGCCTCGCTTTCCCAGGTGCCCTTCGCTTTGATTATTGGTAGCTTTTGGTTTTCGGACGCCTGTGATTTTACTTTGTGGGATTAAATTGACAATTCCCAGAGGCAGCTTCTGGCCCTAGGCCCTCCAGTCCCCTGGCTGACCACGCACGCATCGGACCTCCTCCCTGAGGCAGGTGCCCGCTCCTCCCCTCCTCCCCCTCTGAGCTTCCCACCCACTCCGCGCCCCCCACTTGAGGTCCAGGCCGTCTGGTCTCCTGAGACCCCCTCCAACCATCAGAGAGCCAGAATGGCTCTGGCTGAGAGGGGCCTCCCTGGTTGTCATTCAGACAGTGTTAGGTCTGATCGAGCAAGTGAATCAATAGCCCCTCCCCTGGGAGCTCACCTTTAGACACTTCACATGGACATGCCACTTGCCTAGACCACAATCCACCTGCTAAGACCATTCTCTCCCCCCTAGACTTACCAGAATCCCGACCTGCACAGAGAACTCTCCACCCAGAAAAGCCCGCCTAGAGTCCTTTAAACGCCGCCGACTCTGAGCGAATAAATTTGTAATCCCTCAGCACTCTGGCCTCGTGCGTTCCTCCTTCGGCGACCCTAACAGGCAGAACGGCGGGATCTGGAAGGGCTGCCGCCGCACAGGCTTCTGAGCTTCTGCCCTAACCGGTGCCGTGCTCTGGCCGCGAGCTCCCCCTCCCAGAGCGTGGGGTGCAGAGCGGGCGCGGGGACATCTCCCGGGGAATGCTGGCACTGGGCCCTTGCTCCCTGTGTGGGGAGCACCTGCGAGTGCAGCGGGACGGAGGGCCCAGGGGATAAAGGGCTGTGGACTGGCTGTCTGACCTGGGGCCGGTCAACAACCTCCCTCAGCCTCCGTTTTGTCATCTGTAAAATGGGCGACAGTCCCCAGCACCATGGCGTCTGGAGGAGGAGCTGAGTGCCATGCATGTCGTTTCTGACCTCACTCCATGTCTTATCAGCCTGCTACAGACCCCATTGCTCACTGTTGCTATTGGACACTGTCACGCAGCCATTGTTACTCAGGGCTGTCACCAGCCATCACCACCTTTACTCAGGACTGTTACTCGCTGTCCTCACCACCATCACTCAGCCATTGTTAGTTACTCCGTCCTTACCACCACTACTCAGGGTTACTCAGTCCTTACCACCACCACTCAGGGTTACTCAGTCCTTACCACCACTACTCAGGGTTACTCAGTCCTTACCACCACCACTCAGGGTTACTCAGTCCTTACCACCACTACTCAGGGTTACTCCGTCCTTACCACCACTACTCAGGGTTACTCCGTCCTTACCACCACTACTCAGGGTTACTCCGTCCTTACCACCACTACTCAGGGTTGTTACCATCATTTCCACCGTTACTTGGAATTGTTACTGCATCATCACCCCATCACTGAGGGTTGTCACCGCCGTCTGTTCAAACCTTGTGCTGTTTCTTTCTGTGTGTGTGCTTCCATGTTGAGTTTGAGAGTTCTTATCTCACCCTCGATCCAGGGGCACCCGGCCTGGGAGGCAGCTGGCCTCGGGGACGCCTGCAGTGAGGGAAGGGGCCACCGGGGCTTCAGTCCAGTCTCTCACATCCTTGACGCTCCCCCCAATCCCTGCCCTGCAGCCGCCCTCCGCCCTGCCCAGTGCCGGTGGCCATCCAGCCCAGCTTCCCCTGCGTGAGGCAGCGGGCTCCCTCTGGGAGGGTCCCTCCCCAGCCCGGTCGCCATGTGGACACCCTGCCGGGGTGGCTCCGGGAGAACAGAGCTGGCAGAGTCCAGGCTGCAGGCTGTCCCCTCCTCCCCGGAGCCCAAGGAGGGCCGCATCCCCCCAGTCCTGCCCCACTTCCCGCCCGACTCCCGGCTCCCTGGGGCACCAGGGGACCCCACAGTCCGGGGTGGAAGCAGGGCTTTGAGCTGGAGCGAGTGTGCTTGTCAGCACTGGTAGTCCTGGGGGGGCGGGGAGGGGGGAGCAGGAGGGGGCGGGGAGGAGGGGCAGGCACCAGGGAGGCCACAGCCTCAAGGGTCATCGTCCTCCATCCCAGGGGAGCAGGATTCCTGTCTGAGCAGCTGCTGCCCTTAAGCAGGTGTCTCCTCTCTGCCTCTGAGAGACGGGAGGGAAGGTTGAAGTGCTGCGTGAGGGGGTGCAGCGTGAGGGGTGCAGCGTGAGGGGTGCTGCGTGAGGGGTGCTGCGTGAGGGGTGCTGTGTGAGGGGGTGCGGCAGGAGGGGTGCGGCAGGAGGGTTGCAGCAGGGGTGGGGTGCTCCCTCAGCTGTGTCCCCGCTGCTTTGGTCCGCCAGCCGTCACGCCTTCTGTTCGGAGCTTTTAAAAGCAGCAGCAGGTGTGGCGCCGGGACGCGGCACAGTCCTGGGCCTGTGCGACAACACATCTATTTATACACGCACACGCGTGTGCCTGCCTAGCTTTCCAGACGCGCACACACGGCGTCTGCGACAGGATCAGGTCCCGTGGCGTAGCGGGGACCCTTTCCCCAGCCGGGCTCGCACAGGACTAGGTGCCGCTGTGTCCCAGAGGAACCAGGCCTCCGCCGCCACCCCTCCTGGGGGGAGGGGTACACCCCACCCCCCTCCGCTCAGCACTGGAGGCTGCCAGCCCCTCTGCTGCTCCAGGCTGTCCAGGGAAACGGACCTGCACCGGCGGGCCGTGCGGGCGCTGTGGCGGGGTCAGAGCCCCCTTGCTGTGCTGACAGTGAATCCCGCCGTCTGGCTGCGCCTCATTGTTCTCCCATCGACCCTGTGGGACGAGGGGGGGGGGGGGGGCTGGTCTGCGTCGGGGCCGCTGTGGACATGCGTGTACACGTTTGCGTGCATCTGTGTCCAGGCCCCGGGTGCACACCGAGGGTGGATTGCGGGGTCACACGGTACCGGAACTGCTGGGCTGGCTTCCGAAGGGGCTGCACCGTCAGATCCCGCCTCCCGCCCAGGAGGTCCGAGGGCTCTGATTTCTCCAAGTCACCAACACCTGTTGTGTTCTTTCTTTAAAAATATGTTTTTATTGATCTCAGAGAGGAAGGGAGAGGGAGAGAGAGATAGAAATATCAGTGATGAGAGTCATGGATCGGCTGCCTCCTGCATCCCCTCCCCCCACTGGGGATCGAGCCGGCAACCCGGGCCTGTGCCCTGACTGGGAATCGAACCGTGACCTCCTGGTTCACAGACAGAGCCGGGGACCCTTTCCGGGTGGCGGGCCCTGAGCCACTCCCAGCCTCTTGCGTAGATGGCCATGCCACCAGCCTCTGGCCCACACAGACCGGTTTCTTCTCTGTTCTCCCCGCGGAGCACCAGGCACAGGCCCCCCAACCCCCGTGTCTGCTTCTCTGTGCAGCGGCTCCCCGGCCGGGGCCGGCTCCGCGGACAAGGCCGTGCTGGAGGCGGCCCCCGTGGCCACGAGAGAGAAGATCCGGTCCAGGTTCCACGGCAGCCACGACCTGATCCACCGCCTGTTCGTCTGCATCTCAGGTGCCACGTGCGGGCCTGGGCGGTGCGGGCTGGTGGGCGTGGGCTGTGCTTCGGGGGAGCAGCCAGTGCCCGCGGGGCTGAGGTCGGCTGCGGGTGACATCCTGACGATGATGCGATGATGTTGGGGGGTGCTGGCTGATGTCGGGGTGCAGGGGTGCCCGGCCCTGTCCGCGGGCCCTTGCTCTGTCTTGTCATCGCCCCACGCCCTGCGATGCGCCCTGCGCCCAGCAGAGAGCAGGCTTTGTTCGCTGTCAGGGTCCTTCCCCGCCTCCCGCCCCGCCCCCCCCCCCCCCCCCCCCCCGCGATGGCCCCTTGGGGTCAGAGTCCGTCTGTGTCCTGACTAGTTTGTCTTTCCTTCCTCCACGGCTCACAGAAAGGGGGGGCTGTTTTGTCCCCCAGAGGGTTCAGAGAGGGCGTGAGCAAAGGGCACCTTGTTCACGGTTTCCTTTCGTTTTGTGTGTTTTAAATGAGTACAAACCCAGGTGGTTCAGAAGTATACAGTGTGGGGTCCCGCCATGCGCGCCCTCCCCACCCGCCCGGGGAGGGGCTTAGGCAGTGCCTGTCCTGCAGCGGGTTCTGCCCCCCCACCCTCCAGTGCCCCCTCTGCCACCACACCCTCTGGTGCCCCTCTGCCCCCATACCCTCCGGTCCCCCATACCTTCCGGTCCCCCCTGCCCCCCATACCCTCTGGTGCCCCCTCTGCCCCCCATACCCTCTGGTGCCCCCTCTGTTCCCCCCACCCTCCGGTGCTCCCTCTGCCCCCATACCCTCTGGTGCCCCCTCTGCCCCCCATACCCTCTGGTGCCCCCTCTGTTCCCCACACCCTCTGGTGCCCCCTCTGTTCTCCACACCCTCTGGTGCCCCCTCTGTTCCCATACCCTCTGGTGCCCCCTCTGCCCCGATTGCAGAGAAGAGGCAGGAGCCAGCACAGCAGGGTAGCCTGGGTCATGAGCCCAGGAATCACTGCCATAAATATATTTTTATTGATTTCAGAGAGGAAGGGAGAGGAAGAGAGAGATAGAAACATCGATGACTATAGAGAATCAATGGTTGGCTGTCTCCTGCACGCCCCGCACTGGGGATGGAGCCCGCAACCCGGGCCTGTGCCCTGACCGGGAATCGAACCGTGACCTCCTGGTTCCTAGGTCAAAGCTCACCCCTGAGCCACGCCGGCCCGGCTCCCACGGTGGGTTTGATGGCTAAGGAGCTGGTGCTTGGCAGGCATTCAGCACAGCCGCACGCCAGGAGCCTCCGGGAGCTCGGCCCCAGTCACTCCTGGGGACGGTCACTCCCGGGGACAGTCATTCGGGGGCAGTCACAGGGCGTCCGTATTTGGGGCGCACACCGCTCCTCCCTGGCTTTGCAGAGCACAGCCTGGTGGCCCCCTAAACAGCCGCATTGCTGGTCACCGGGAAAGGCTGGGTCCACCCCATTTCTGGAAGGGGGGAGCCCCTGCCAGTGGGGGTAGGGTCGCGTTTCCCTGCCCGATGTGGGTGGGGGGCTGGGGCGCAGAGGAGCTGGGCGTCGGTACCACCTCCGGCTGGTCCTCCTGCGGCCCTGCAGTCACAGTATTTGGGGCAGCGGTGTTTGCCGTGGGGCGGGCACGTCCAGGTGCTGCATGGCCGCGGCCGGGGCGGTGCTGCCGGGGTGGGCACGTGCGGGCTCTGAGATCCCCGCAGGGAGGGGCCATGACGGTGAACAGTGCTGCCGGTGAACAGTGCTGCCTGGGTGGGCACAGTGCGGGCTCTGAGATCCCCGCAGGGAGGGGCCAGGACTGCGCAGCGGTGGCCCGAAGGAGGAGACGTACCCAGCTCCTGCCTCCGCCAAAGCCACGTCCTGGCTGGCGGCTGCTTCGCCCTGACCAGCTGCAGGCACACGGTCCCCAGGCGGCCAGCCCACCGCCTCCTCGTCTCCCCCCCAGGGGTGGCTGACCAGCTGCAGACCAACTATGCCAGCGACCTGAGAAGTATTCTCAAGACCCTCTTCGAGGTCATGGCCACCAAGCCGGAGATGGACAACAAGGACAAGTTCCGGAAGGGTGAGTGTCCCCGGGACAGGCTCTGCTGCCTGCTGACTGGGGTGTCCAGCGCCCAGGGGTGGGGGAACCCAGAAGCCTGCATCCCAGCCCTGGGCAGAGACGGCCTCTCCACGGTGCGCGGCTGGGGACGGTGATGGGGCGTGGACCCAGCGGGCACCCTTCTCTTCCAGTCGCCCAGACCCTGCGGGGCGCGGCCCTGGAGGACTGCGCCCTGTGCCAGGAGACCCTGTCGTCCTCCGAGATGGCAGCCAAGACCCGGGACGGGGACTTGGAAGGTGCGTGGGGAGCCCTGGCCCGTCTGGACGCTTCCTCTCTGTCCAGACCAAAGCCTGGAGGTCGGGGACCCTGCTCCCCACTAGCCTGGAGGTTAGAGACCCCTGCCCCCCACTAGCCTGTAGGTCGGGGACCCTGCCCCCCACTAGCCTGGAGATCGGGGATCCCTGCCCCCCACTAGCCTGGAGATCGGGGACCCCTGCCCCCCACAAGCATGGAGATCGGGGACCCCTGCCCCCCACTAGCCTGGAGGTGGCAGCTGGAAGCGGTGGCTTGCTGGTCAGGGCAGGAGCCTCAGGTGGTTAGGGCATTGGCAGCACCTTTTGGGGAGGACCCTAAGGCTCTGGGGGGGCATGCGTCCCCCTGGAGCCTGGAGAGGTGCTGGGCGGGTGAGAGCAGTTAGGCCTGAGCAGGGTCACAGGCGGCCGGAGTCTGGGAGGCGGAAGTTGACCCCGCGATAGGCCACAGGTCACACCGCTCCCTGCGTGCCCGGCTGCCCGGACACCCCTGGCGGGTCCCCAGCTCAGGGCCTCTCCCGCGCGCCTGGGGACAGGTGCGCACGGAGGCTGCGGGTGAGCAGGGTCAGGGGCGGCCAGGCCAGGACGTCCTCGGGACCCCCGGGTGCCCAACAGGGTGCTCTCATCTGCCTGAGCTGGAGGCCGGCCCAGCGCAGCCCAGGGCCCGGGCCCGTCCAGGGCCTCGCTGGGTCCAGCAGGGGTTGGACGGGGTGTCGGGGACAAGCGTGAGAACCGACCCCGCTGGGGTGTGGGCGAGCTGAGGGGATCCTGGGAGGATGGCCGGTAAGGCGAGGCCGGAAGGAGGCAAGGAGGCCCTGGGTGTCCGGTGGCCAGGCGCCCTTCACCAGGTCCACTGGGAGGCGCTGGGGGGAGGCCAGGGGTCTGCAGGGTGGGCGGGACCTCTGAGCACCTCTGTGGCCAGGCACGTTGGAGGGACGCTCCCCCTCTGGGTGTCCTGCTACCTTCGGCCTGGCCCATGGCGCCCCGCAGGGCCTGGGGTGGAGAGAAGTGACTGCTTCCCACACTTCAGAGCCCCTGAGAATGGGAGTGGGTGGTCCCCGTGACCCTGTGACCCTGTGGGAGGAGGTGGCCCTGCCCCTGGCCCTGCCTGGGCAGCACAGGTGACGGGGAGGGGTGGCACCAGCCTTGGCCTCCAGAGGTGGACGGGAGTCTGCCTGGGCCTCCAGGGCCCCAGGACCTGAGAACTGCAGGGGGTGAGGGGTACCCTGGATGGTGGGGCCAGGGACCCCTGACACCTGACAGTGTTGATTGAGGGGGTGACGGGGTTGACTTCTTTATTTCTCAGCCCCTACCTTTGTCCAAGGGCCTTGACAGATGGGAGCTGGCGGGAGAGGCTTGGGAGAGGGTGGTCCAGGTGAGGCTGGGGACCGACCGACAGGCACTGCCCACCCACAGGAGGCCACCCATTTCCGAAACCAGGGATGCATCCAGGGCGGATGGAGACAAGGGGGCGGGGCTGCCGGCCACGGGGCCAGAGGCTCCTGCACACCCACCTCCGCCCCCCCCAGCCCACCTGCCCCCGTCCCCCACTGTCGCGGCTGCGTGGCTCCCTGTGCCTGACGGCCCCCCACTCTCTTGTCAGACCCGCCCGAGTGGGTCCCGGACGAGGCCTGCAGCCTCTGCACCGCCTGCAAAGCGCCCTTCACGGTCATCCGCAGGAAGCACCACTGCCGCAGCTGCGGGAAGGTGGGTCAGCCCACGGGGCTGCGGGACCCCTCCCAGCGCTGCTCTGACTCGGCATGGACTCTGGGCGCTTGGCCACAGGGTCTGCATGGTGCGCGGTCCCCTCCCTGCTGCTTCAGAGCTGGGAACGGGGCGGGGGGGGGGGGGGGTCTAAACAAGAGCCTGCAGCGCCTGGTGTGGGGCCTGGGACTCCCCCTGAGCCCGGCCTCCTGGAGCCCCAGGTTTTCCTGCGGCCCGCCCGCGCATGCCCGGCCTGGTGGGTGGGAGGAGGGTCCGGAGGCAGGCGCCAGGGCTCTGACACTGCCCTCTGGGTGCTCTCCCGGTGGGGCCAAGGTCAGGGTGCGGCACAGGTGGGCGCTGGGGACCCTCCCAGCTCACTCCCCCCCTCCACCTTCCAGATCTTCTGCTCCCGCTGCTCCTCGCACTCGGCCCCGCTGCCCCGCTACGGGCAGGCGAAGGCGGTCCGCGTGTGCACCCACTGCTACGTGTTCCATGTGACGCCCTTCTACAGCGACAAGGCGGGCGTCTGACGGCACCAGGCACCCGGACCCGCCGAGCCCGAGAGGCCGCCCCGGAAGGAAGGCCCCCGCGGGGCTCCCGCCGCTCGGTCCCGGTCCCGCGGGTTTTGCCTGCATTCATCGGGCTGTTGCTGCGGAGACTTCCAGAGCATCCCGCACCTCTGTCCGGCCACGCGGGCTCCCCCACCTGCAGGGCCAGCGGGAGGGGGAGGGGTCCCTGGGCGCCAGGGGCCGAGCTGCTGCCTGGAGGCTGGGCCGCAGCTCGGGGAGCAGCCGGGCAGCCTCAGCGCCTGCGGCTACCTCGGACCCTGGACCCGCCCGAGAGGGCCGGGCCTCCGTGCCCGCAGGCTTCCCCACGCGCTTGCCAAACCAGTGCCCAGAGCCCGGGACACCCACCTCCTCCCCCACGCCCCCTGCCCTCCCCCTCGGGGCCTTGGCTGAGCAGCACACGCCTCACTGTGCCCAGCGGTCCCTCGGGCGAGCTGCCCATGTTGCCTGCCCACCCACCCACCTGCGGATGGGGAGGGGCCGCGTGGAGACCCCCAGACAGGCCCCGGAGCCTTAGGCCGGGCTCCCAGGCAGCCACGGACCACGGGGCGCCGCCCCCTCGCTGCCGCCCCCGCTTCCCGCACCCCTGGGACCTTGGCCCCGTCCTCCGACAGGGCGGGCGCAGGCCCAGCGGGACTCCTCAGGCTAAATCTCAGGCTTCACATTGCAATGAGGGTTGCAGCTTTATTTTTAGAGAGAGAGACACACCTACCGCTTCTTTTATAGGAGAAACCCGGTTACTGTTAACGTGGACACACACGGGACGGCTTCCGTGGGAGGGAGAGTATATGACGGAGTGACTATTCTGTATGGAGAGTATTTTTATTTTCTAAATGCTGTAATTGGACACCATTTCCATAAATCTATTTATGGACTGCAGACCCTGGTTGCCCCTGTGAACATGGGAGCTGGGGGGCTCTGGGCTCTGGGGGACAGTCCGAGGGCAGGACTGGCTTCCTCCCCACCAGCCCCAGGAGGAGGGCGGCTCCCCATCCCCCACGCACCCCTTCGAGGGCTCCAGCGCGCCACTGCCCCGGGGACTGCGGTCCCTCTGCCCTCTGCAAGGCTGGCCACCAGGGCCAGAGCCAGGCCCTGGGGGTGCAGAGGGGTGAGTCCAAGGCAGTCTCCTCGCTCAGGAAGGATCTATGAGGCCTCCTGCCACCCACAGCGGGGGTCAGCCCACAAGCCAGCCTGGCACCGAGCAGGTCAGCCTTCCTGAGCCTCAGTTTCCCGTCACCACCATCATCACCCTTCCTGTCCCTGCTTTCTGGGTGCTTCCCCTCCACTCCCCACGACAGCGCCTCAGGGAGCAGCACCCCCACGTCGCTGGTGGGGAGTGGAGCTCAGGGAAGTGGGTGGGCAGCACAGCCAGGCCCTGGGCTTGGGAGGCCACCTGGGAGGCCGGCCAGCGCCCTGTGCTGAGGAGGTCACAGCACTGGCCCTGCGGCTGTGCCTGGGGCCACTTCCGGGGTCTCAGCTCCGGAGACAGGCCCTCCACCCGCATCGGGCACTGGGCTGGCAGCAGGAGGAAGGCCGGACCTTCCTCCTGGACTGCCCACCTCACCCTGCTCTGGGCTACGCACAGGCCTGGGAGAAGGCCAGCATGCTTGCCAGCACCTTCCTTAGGCTTCCAGTAACAGTCGGGGGCCCTGGGCCTGGCTGCCCATCCCCACCCCCACCCCCAGCGTCTCAGGACCCAGGGGGCAGGTCACCAAGATGAAGGGCCTGGCAGGGAGCCCCCAGAGGTCCCTATTCAAGGGGGCTCAGAGGTGGGGGAGGAAGGGCAGAGAGCCACCAGGCCTGGCTGTGAGGAGGCCGCCTTGGGGTAGGAGAACGGGGAAGCCCCAACCGGTCCACCCCTCCCGCTGCCACTCAGATCAGTGCACACCCCCCACACTCCCTGGCCCCTGGAGGGGTCCTGCTGCCTGCCCCTATTTGTGGCTCATCTGTCCCCACAGACATGCTCAGGTCCAACCAGCCTGCTGTCCAGCCCCGCCCACATCCCCTGGGAAACCCCAGGTGGGCAGCCACCCACCCCAGCTGGCTGTGTGACCCTGGCGGGGGTGAGGGGCGCGTGAAAGGAAAAGACTGTTATGATGTCTGAAGAAGGTGATGAAGGCCAAGTGGGTGGGGCAGGATTGGGGGTCCTTCCCCCTCCTTTCTGTGGCTCAGGGTCCCTGCTATAGCCCCCGATGGCCACCAGGGGGCGCCCATCCACCCATCTCCTCTCCCAGAGTGGCCTGATGACCAGGTGTTGGGGGCCACTGGGGTGCTGCCTGCAGGGGTCCCCCACTGCAGACAGGCACTCCAGGTCCAGACAGGACACCAGCACAGCCACACCCGCTGGCCAGGCCCTAGCCTCTGGGTTCCTTAAGGGGCTGGAGGGTCCAGAGGGTCCTGGCCCAGCAGAGACCACAGGCAGGGCAGGCACAACCCAATGGCTCAGGGAGAGGGAGAGAGGGGTCCTGGTCCGGACTGGACCCCAGGGCAACATGCTGGGGGGCGGCTCCACCTGCTTTCTGGCCTCGGCAGCGAAAGCTCGGGGAGGTGGGCAGGACCCCACGCGCCCACCCAGGTCACTCACATGACCTAGAGGCGCTTGTCTCCTGCCAGGCCCACCCAGAGCCACCTCCTCCAGGCAGCATTCACATTCAGGGGTGGCCCCAGCCCCAGACCTCACACATGCTCAGAGCAGAGCCCAGGTCGGTCCCTTCGCAGGGGCCAGCGAGCCTGTCAGAACCTCTCCTGGCTCTGAGGCGGGAGAAACGGGTTCCGGGCCTGCACGGAGCAGTCGCTCACTCAGACACCAGCAAGGCTGTGGGCTCATTTGCTCCCAGATGGGGAGGGGAGCTCAGGCTGGAGCCCACCCCTGAGCTGGGCAAGGGTGGGCACCCAGACACTCCAGACCGGCCCTGCCCGTGGGCCTGCAGGTCCGCGGTCACTGAGCTGGCTGTGGCGGCTGGGCCTTGTGGGGTGGGTGAGCGGGGTGCTGTGGAGAACGGGGTGCCGGAGCTACAGAGGCACAGGACAGCCCTGAGTGTCTGACAAATGGTGATGCTCCCAGCGGGGGGAGCACAGACGGGGACATGGCTGGGTCACCCCAGGCACCAAGGGCCAGGCTACTTCCTGAGGGCACTGGGGAGCCATGGAGAGTTCTGAGCAGGGAGGACATTCAGGTGTGTGGTGTGGACACCTCGCAGGGGGTGGGGGTGGGGCAGAGGCCAGGGCCCCGCTGCTGGGACCGGAGTGCCGTCAGAGGCAGTAGCGCTCAGCGTCACCGCTCTGACCTGCTGTCCCACCCCTCCACTCAGGACCCTGTCATCTGAGAGGCCTCTGCGCCCTCACACCCCCTGAGCTGGCCTGCTGCCTCTGGGGTAGAAGCTGTTGATGACCCAGACCCAGGACTGGGGAGCTGGCTGGGTTCTTGGGCTGAGGTCCTCAGGGCATCCAGCCTGAGAGAGGAGGCCTCTACCCTGGAACCAGGGGTGGCACTAGAGCCACCTGAGCATGGCGGGGGGGGGGGGGGGGGGGGGACAGGCCAAGGAGACCCAGGCCAGAGAAGCCCAGGCAGCAGGACCTGGAGAGGGGTTGGGGGGACCCCCATGGTCCCTATTGTTCATGGCCAGAGAGGGCAGGAAGAGCCAGTGGATGGAAGGCGGTGGGCGAGGAGGCAGCTGGCCCAGCCTGGGCTCAGGGAGGAGGGGACCGGCACCTGCCGCAGACTGTCCTACGGAACCGGGCCTGGGGGTTCTGCGAGGCCTGCTGGGGGCTGGGTCAACCAGCTGGACCCTCGGGTGCCTATGCCCCGCTACCACGTGGGGCCCCAAGGGAGACCGGTCCACACACCTTCCCCAGTAACATCTTCCATCGGTCCCGCCCCCTCCCTGCACCGACTTGCGGCTCAGCCCTCAGACCGCAGGCCCGCAGCCCGGCCAGGGCCCGTCCCACTCACCACCCCGCTGCTCCCCCTGCCCCTCCCTCGGCTCCCTCCCCCTTCCTGCCCTCCTGCCCACTCAGTGCCACCTCCTGGGCTGCCCCCTCCGCTTGGGACCCGGAAGCCTCTGCCCTTGCCCAGCCCCTCGCCCAGGCTGCTGACCTGGCCGCCTGCTCCCCCCACTCCTTGCGGTGCGCGGGGCCCACACTCAGAGGCGGCGGGGAGCCCCGCGGGCACTCGGCGTGGCTGGGGGAGGGGTCCCCGAAACGGCCTAGATGCAAAGGGAGGCAAGGTGGGAGCGAACCCCTCTGGTCTCAGGCCAGGTGGTGGCAGGCACGGGCTCCCACCGTCACCCCCATTACCTGCACGGCCGCCGGGTGCACCGCCGCCCCCGCCCCCTGCCGGGAAGGAGCCGGCATCCCGAAGGGGGACGTGCAGCTTTTAGGGCAGGGGTGGTGACCTGGCAGAATGCTGACCCGCAAGTGGGAACCGCAGGCCCCACCCCCTGGGCCCCAAAGCCCAGAATGCACCCGCCCCTCCCAGAGTTGGGCGCCCCCTTCCCCCCTGCACCCTGAGCAGCCTACAGACTAACCAGGAGGGGAGGACAGCACAGCGCCTGCCTCTTGTTAGGGCTCTGCCCTGGCCCCGGGGTGGCTGTGGGGTGGGAGCAGGAAGTGCGGGGTTTACATCAAAGGGGTGTTTAATGTCCGCAGGGAAGTATCCACGGCCTCCAGCCCCCAAGGGCCCTGCCCTCTGCTGGGTGCACCCGTTTCTCATCACACAGCTGTGGCTGTCACCCCAGCGGGTCAGGCTGTGTCACCACCCCTGCACCGACCTCCACTCCGCTGGGACTGGGGTGAACCCCTGGCCAACCCTTGAACCTCAGGACTCCCCGTTTCCTTATCTGTGGGTTGGAGATGCGGCCACACACAAGGAAATGCAACTAACGCATTCAACACGTCCTAGGACTGAAAGTGTGCTGGTCTTCCTAGGTTTTACTAGGGGCCCAGTGCACAAATTCGTGCACCTTGAAAGGGACTGTGGGCCTGGAGGCTGCTAGGCACAGGGGCGGGTCTTGGCCCATGCTCTGTGCCCCGGCCCCGCCCCTCCTGCCATGGGTCCCAGTCCGCTGCTCTCCCGACAGCCAGGAGCCATTGGGGCCAGCACCAGCAGCAGTTGCAAGCAGGGCCAGTGCTGGGTGCGAGCTGCGGCTGCTGCCCTGATACCCCCTCAGGAGCAGGGGCAGGTGGAGAAGCCCTCAGGGGCGATCGGCGCCAGCAGCCACTGCCCACACCCACTGAAGGCACTGAGGGATTGGGGCTGGCGGAGGCCGGCAGCAGGCGCAAGCGCTGGGTGGGACGATGGCACGTGGGAGCAAAGAATTTTCAGTAACCACCAGAGGCTCGCCCCAATGACAGCGATCAGCGCCCCGCCTTGGTCTGGCGCCCCTGCTCACCTGCTCCACCATCCCGCCATGTTCCCCACACGCCCCCTGGTGGTCAGCACAGTCATAGTGACCAGTTGTTCGGTGGTTCTGCTGTTCCGTCTATTTGCATATTAGGGTTTTCTATAGATAGATGTTTTGTCTTAGGACTGGGGCAGCAGCAGTGCCTCCCATTTAGAACCTCTGTGTGTGTGTGTGTGGGGGGGGTCCACCCACCTTGTCCCCCACACTCTGCAGCCTGCTGGTTCCATGCTCAGGACCTGCCAAGCCACCAGTAACATGGAAGATGCAGGGGACGGAGGCCGGTCCCTGCGCTTCCTGAGCCAGCTTAGGGTCAGGGGCCACCAGGGCTGGTCGCAGCTGGGGGCTCGGTGAGGCGCCCTCTCCCTTCCCACAGCGGCGATGCTCTTCCCCAGAAGGCGCTTCGTTGGCCAGAGGGACACTAGCACCTCCTCCAGAAATGCCCCCACCGGTCAGAATGCCCGCAG